TGGGTGGACAAAAAATTGGATACAATTTACCACCACGTAACTTTGCGAAAGGGGCGGGAAACCTGAATTATAGCGCTTATATTAACAGGCGGGATTCTCTTTAATGGGTGAATGTAGCACGGACTAGTTTCGTGGACTATTCTACAGTTAGAATACCGCGAACACAACGAAAAGTTGTCACGCCAGCAATTGTGATCAAACGGAACTCGCTATCAACTTGCATCTGTTTCTCCGACTACATTAACCAAACGTCCTAATGCAAAAATGCATCTAGTAATTATACATCGGTTTGACTCACGTGAAACATAACTCGGGAATTATAACATACTTTAACCGAAAATGTAAGTTTTGTTATACAGCGGAAATTTTAGCAATTTTTGACCACAGCCACCGTCGATAAAACAAGTATTTTATCCAACGTGTTGCTCTCTCTTTTAACAAAGACCACCCGACTAGACTACTTGGACAACAAGGAAGGAAGGAAAGAATTAAAGAATTAAGAACAAAACTGTTATTAAATTATTCAATATTTAATATACTGTTCAAGATACTCAGTCCAAAATGCCTTCCGTTTTCAGTTCAAATTTATTCCAAACAGTTCCAGCTCCTTCTTCGATGAGCGCGTACGATATTGTGCGAGGGACTGTAGCTCAGTAACGCGCTAGTGAAAATCATAATCTTGCCGGGTACACACGTTACAAAAGAATATTAGAGACACGCGGATAGCTTTTAAGATTGAAGAAGCTGAATTTGGTCTTTCGTAAAATCCCATTTTACACCACACAAAGCCAAGTTGCCTTACATTTTCCTAGTGCCTGTGATAGTAAAGAGCCGAAATTTCCAATAAAATGGTCTGAATTAAAGTCTAGTTGTCAATCTAGGAATTTTTGTCACTATATTTAATGCGTTTGGCATTCTCGACCCCAGACCCTTCGCAAAGGAAAAGAGTACTCGAGAATGGTGAGTTTGGAAAACCTAAATATCTGAGATTGCTGTAGTTTGATAAAAACTGTACGAACTCGCACAACAATAAATCGAATGGCGTATTTGCCTAGAGTACTGTGTAAAATAGTTAATTCCCCTACCCCTAGCATCTGCTTGTTCTGGGAGCTTTAATGTTGATGGCAATGGCGGTAGAGGATTGGGGTGGGAGGAAGCGAAATTCTGATGTACCCTTTGTTGCTCAAAAAGAAATTGGCACCATGTAAAGGATGACAATTCGATCATTGCCACTCTTTCGCTGTTATATGTACCAAGTATATTTTCCACCCGGCCGTCTTTAACCGCTCCACTACAGGTAATCACTAATCAACATCAAAAAACCGCTGCTTTTGTTCTCAGTGACTCAATAAAACACCAGTTTCTCTCTGAATTTATCAAACTGTACCATAACCTGTGGGGAGTATTAATACTGGCTACAGGACTGAGTGGAGTCCAATTCGGTCTGTAATCATACAAGTGATTAACAAAATCGGACGACCGCGAAGCGGGAGTCCGATTTGTTAACCACGAGTACGATTAGTACCAAAATTGGACCCAGTGGAGTACAATTCAGGGAGTAATCGCGCGAGTAATTTCAAAATCGGACGAGCGCAAAGCGCGAGGCCG